CATTCCTCCCCGCCTCCGTCCCATCCCCCATCCTTATCCTGACCCCTTCCAAGTGCTATACAGTCGCAATGGCTTGGCGCTTTCTCCCGATGGTTAACTTCCTTTCTGATAATCCAGTCATCAGTAAGGAAACGAATTCAGTTTTCCGTGAACCCCGCTCCGAGGAATCCAATGTTTTGAATGCTCTCATTGTCCTTCAATCATTTGCCTGTCTGTTGCTGTCTGCTGCTGCTCGGGGGTGTCCTGGTGCTCTGTAAACGGTCTAGCTCGTCTGACATCACTATGCCTAGCTCTATGACTTCGTCGCGTCATTCAGTGAGACCTGACTAGTCTTGTATTCTGAAATCAGATTTCTTGCCGCCTATCGACTGTGCTGGTATGATCAGTAATGGGTGACAGAGACTTGGTGGGTCTGCTCCTGTCTGTTGTCTGCTCGGGGAGTCTGTCTGAACGAGCAACACACCGTGCACCCAGGTGCTGTTCTCAGATGGTCTGCTCTTAGATTATATCTTACAGAGTTCCACTCCAAGATGGAGAAGGTGATAGGGGTTGATGTAGGAGAGAGAGAGAGAGAGAGAGAGAGAGAGAGAGAGAGAGAGAGAGAGAGAGAGAGAGAGAGAGAGAGAGAGAGAGAGAGAGAGAGAGAGAGAGAAAGGTAGAAGAGGGAGAAGGAAAGGGGGGGTTGTGGCATTCGCTGGGGCTGGCCTTTCGAGGGGGGAGGGGTGATAGGTCAAAGGTGAGTAACACTTCTCAACATTGTCATCATCATTCATCGTACTAGCTAATAGTCCCCCCCCCCTTGGTCTGTGACGTCTCCCCTGTCCTGTGGTGTGACGTCTCCCCCTGTCCTGTGGTGTGACGTCTCCCCCTGTCCTATGGTGTGACGTCTCCCCCTGTCCTGTGGTGTGACGTCTCCCCCTGTCCTGTGGTGTGACGTCTCCCCCTGTCCTGTGGTGTGACGTCTCCCCCTGTCCTGTGGTGTGACGTCTCCCCCTGTCCTGTGGTGTGACGTCTCCCCCTGTCCTGTGGTGTGACGTCTCCCCCTGTCCTGTGGTGTGACGTCTCCCCCTGTCCTGTGGTGTGACGTCTCCCCCTGTCCTGCGGTGTGACGTCTCCCCCTGTCCTGCGGTGTGACGTCTCCCCCTGTCCTGCGGTGTGACGTCTCCCCCTGTCCTGCGGTGTGACGTCTCCCCCTGTCCTGCGGTGTGACGTCTCCCCCTGTCCTGTGGTGTGACGTCTCCCCCTGTCCTGTGGTGTGACGTCTCCCCCTGTCCTGCGGTGTGACGTCTCCCCCTGTCCTGTGGTGTGACGTCTCCCCCTTGTATGTCTCTCGTCATTTGGTATGTATTCATCCACAACATGGAAAGAACAATATGATTAACCAGAGAAAATGATAGTTGAAGATCCTGACACTCTCACACACACACACACACACACACACACACACACACACACACACACACACACACACACATCCTCTCTGTTTGAGGCTTCAAGAAGACCTAGACAAACTGCAGGAATGGTCGAACAAGTGGTTGTTAGAGTTTAACCCAACCAAATGTAATATAATGAAGATAGGTGCAGGGAGCAGGAGGCCAGATACAAGGTATCATCTGGGAGAGGAAATTCTTCATTAGTCAGAGAAGGAAAAAGACTTGCGGGTTGATATCACGCCAGACCTGTCTCCTGCAGCACATATCAAGAGGATAACATCAGCGGCATATGCCAGACTGGCCAACATACGAACGGCATTCAGAAATTTGTGTAAAGAATCATTCAGAACTTTGTATACCACATATGTCAGGCCAATCCTGGAGTATGCAGCCCCAGCATAGAGTCCATATCTAGTCAAGGATAAGACTAAACTGGAAAAGGTTCAAAGATTTGCCACCAGACTAGTACCCGAGCTGAGAGGTATGAGCTACGAGGCGTTTTACGGGAATTACGGGAACTACGGGAATTAAACCTCACTTCGCTGGAAGACACAAGAGTTAGGGGGGACATGATCACCACATTCAAGATTCTCAAGGGAATTGATAGGGTAGATAAAGACAGGCTATTTAACACAAGGGGCACACGAACAAGGGGACACAGGTGGAAACTGAGCGCCCAAATGAGCCACAGAGATATTAGAAAGAACTTTTTTAGTGTCAGAGTGGTTGACAAATGGAATGCATTAGGAAGTGATGTGGTGGAGGCTGACTCCATACACAGTTTCAAGTGTAGATATGACAGAGCCCGATAGGCTCAGGAAGCTGTACACCTGTTGATTGACGGTTGAGAGGTGGGACCAAACAACCAGAGCTCAACCCCCGCAAGCACAACTAGGTGAGTATACACACACACACACACACACACACACACACACACACACACACACACACACACACACACACACACACACACACACACACACACACACATACACAAAAGCAGACTTAAACAAGTAGCAAACAATCCCCCCCCCCCTTTTTATCAACCCCGAGTCCTGGATTTGACCAGGAATACCATATATGATATACAAAGTATACGATTTGTCTGAGTACCCAGTGTGACGTGGAGGCACTCAGAGGTGGCACTCAGGACAAGTATAGACCCAGTCGCACTCTCGTCACTCATTATAAAGCGTAATTAGAGGTCAAATCATTAGTCGTGGAAAAAAACGACCTTCAGTATGGATCAGCGTGGATCCGGGTCATCCTGGATTTAGAGCAGGCTGTGGCGGTCACTGAACGGCTGTGGCGGTCACTGAACGGCTGTGGCGGTCACTGAACGGCTGTGGCGGTCACTGAACGGCTGTGGCGGTCACTGAACGGCTGTGGCGGTCACTGAACGGCTGTGGCGGTCACTGAACGGCTGTGGCGGTCACTGAACGGCTGTGGCGGTCACTGAACGGCTGTGGCGGTCACTGAACGGCTGTGGCGGTCACTGAACGGCTGTGGCGGTCACTGAACGGCTGTGGCGGTCACTGAACGGCTGTGGCGGTCACTGAACGGCTGTGGCGGTCACTGAACGGCTGTGGCGGTCACTGAACGGCTGTGGCGGTCACTGAACGGCTGTGGCGGTCACTGAACGGCTGTGGCGGTCACTGAACGGCTGTGGCGGTCACTGAACGGCTGTGGCGGTCACTGAACGGCTGTGGCGGTCACTGAACGGCTGTGGCGGTCACTGAACGGCTGTGGCGGTCACTGAACGGCTGTGGCGGTCACTGAACCGCTGTAACAGTCACTGAGCCGCTGCTGTTGTATTCAGTGCCAGTAACACGACATTAAATACATGTGATAAAAGAGTGATAATGCATAAAATAAGATCCCAAGGAAAAACTGTGAAGCTTTCAAACAAAGCGATGTACCGATGATACTTCTGAAGACACCAGAGTTGTAGAGAGTGCAGTACTGCTGCTCACTAACAGCCCAATTCAAAGCTGGAGACATTATAGATGTGTGGAATGTGCAGATAACATCTACTGTACTCCTTGGAGCACAGGTATGAGAGGGATAATAATTTTGCACTACAAAATATTAGAGAATCCAGATCGTAATCGACGCTGAAATATTACCTTAAGAGACTTGTGAGAAGAATGTGTGAAATTGACCCTTTCAAAAAGCAGGTGAAATAATTACTCTTAAGAGACGATTATCTAGCTAATTAAGGTAGAGCATTTTTCAGCGTTCAGAAGCAGACCTGATAAACACCGGTTAAGGAACTTTGATCAACCAGCTTGTGATACTGCCTGTGTTATACTACATACAGTGGTGTCTAACAGTGTGGTTGATCAGACCTTCAACCAGGAGGCTTGGCTGGTCTGAAACTATGAGGAGAGATGAGGGTGTGGGAGGGGAGATACATAGGTCTTAGAATATTTAGGGAGAAATGGTGTGTGTGTGTTCACCTACATGTATTCACCTTGTTGTGCTTGCGGGGGTTGAGCTCTGCTCTTTCGGCCCGCCTCTCAACTGTCAATCAACTGTTTCTACTACTACTACTATTTTTTTTCCACACCACACACACACACACCTTAGGAAGCAGCCCGTGACAGCTGACTAACACCCAGGTACCTATTTACTGCTAGGTAACAGGGGTATAGGGTGAAAAAAAAACTCTGCCCATCGTTTCTCTCCGGCGCCCGGGACCACAGGATTACGTGTCTAGCGTGCTGTCCGCTCGGCCGGCCGGGCTCCCGTCCCGTGTGTGTGTGTGTGTGTGTGTGTGTGTGTGTGTGTGTGTGTGTGTGTGTGTGTGTGTGGGGTGTGTGGTGGGTGTGTGTGTGTGTGTGTGTGTGTGTGTGTGTGTGTGTGTGTGTGTGGTGTGTGTGTGTGTGTGGGTGGAGGGAAGTGGCAGTGTGTGTGTGTGGTGTAGGGGTGGGGTTGTGTGTGTGGTGTGTGTGTGTGTAGGCGTGGGGGGTAGTGGTCCTATCACCTATACAACAGCTATGCAGATTCTCTCATCTCTCCACCTACGCCGAAAATAATTTAAAAACTGAGCACTGAAGCTATTCTTTACCTGTTTTGTGTTCAGCTGAGGCGGCGCTCCAAGATGGCGTCCCTCCCGGAGCAGAGGGGGGAGAGGAGCCCCAAGATGGCTGCCACCCCCCCCCACACCTCTCACCCCATTTAATATATTCATAAGCTATGTAGATTATGGTTTGGTCTACATTATCAATCTAGTCGGCTGTTGTGATCCGCTTCTTGCCTCACAGGAGTGAGGCAACAAGGTCTCTTGCCTCACAGGAGTTCTCTTACAATTATTAAGACCTATCTAACGGGTAGATTATTGCATTCTTCTACCTCTTAACTGTTGGTCTTTCTGTTGTTACTGTTGCTGCAATTGCGGTTTGAAATTTGGGGTCACGGGCCGTTAGCAGAGGTCATGGAGAGCGAACCACTCGTTACATACAAGGTATATTATAATTTGATTGTTGATAGATTTATATATATATTAATGACTTTTATAAGGGTGTTGAACGAGTGTTAACGTGATGTTTGTGTGTGTTCCTTCAGACAGACGCCCTTCGCCCAGGGCCCCAACGATACCCCTGAAGACATACTCCAGCGTATTGGTGAGGGCAAGTTCTGTGTCGACTCCGGCAACTGGGTCTCCGTCTCTCCTGCTGCTAAGGTGAGTGTCCTGGGGGGTTCTGAACTGTGTGTGTCTCTCTCTGTCTCTCTCTCTGTCTCTGTCTCTGTCTCTGTCTCTGTCTCTGTCTCTGTCTCTCTCTCTCTGTCTCTCTCTCTCTGTCTCTCTCTCTCTCTCTCTGTCTCTGTCTCTCTCTCTCTCTCTCTCTCTCTCTCTCTCTCTCTCTCTCTCTCTCTCTCTCTCTCTGTCTCTCTCTCTCTCTCTCTGTCTCTGTCTCTCTCTCTCTCTCTCTCTCTCTCTCTCTCTGTCTCTCTCTCTCTCTCTCTCTCTCTCTCTCTCTCTCTCTCTCTCTCTCTGTCTCTCTCTCTCTGTCTCTCTCTCTCTCTCTCTCTCTCTCTCTCTCTCTCTCTCTCTCTCTCTCTCTCTCTCTCTCTCTCTCTCTCTCTCTCTCTCTCTCTCTCTCTCTCTCTCTCTCTCTCTCTCTCTCTCTCTCTCCTCCCCACCTCCCCTTCCCCACCTCCCCTTCCCCACCTCCCCCTCTCCCCACCCTCCCTCCCCACCTCCCTTCCCCACCTCCCCTTCCCCACCTCCCCTTCCCCACCTCCCCTCTCTCCCCCCCCTCCCCTCTCCCCACCCTCCCTCCCCCTCTCCCCTCCCCCACCTCCCCACCTCCCCCTCCCCACTTCCCCACCTCCCCCTCCCCACCTCCCCACCTCCCCCTCCCCACCTCCCCACCTCCCCCTCTCTCCCCCCCCCCCCTCCCTCTCTCTACTCTCCCCTGTGAGTGACAGCTTTCGTACAGGATGCACTTGGTGCCTACTTTACATATTCCATGTTGTGATGCGGCCCCAGGCAGTGGCCTCAGACCTCCACAACTAGTGTGTGTGTTTTGGGGGAATGGTAAGGGGGTCGGCGCTGGTAGGGGGGCGGTGGTAGGGAGGGGGTCGGCGCTGGTAGGGGGGGCGGTGGTAGGGGGGGCGGTGGTAGGGAGGGGGTCGGCGCTGGTAGGGGGGGCGGTGGTAGGGGGGTCGGCGCTGGTAGGGGGGGGCGGTGGTAGGGGGGGTCGGCGCTGGTAGGGGGGGCGGTGGTAGGGGGGGCGGCGCTCGGCGCTGGTAGGGGGGGCGGTGGTAGGGAGGGGGTCGGCTCTGGTAGGGGGGGCGGTGGTAGGGAGGGGGTCGGCGCTGGTAGGGGGGGCGGTGGTAGGGGGGTCGGCGCTGGTAGGGGGGGCGGTGGTAGGGGGGGTCGGCGCTGGTAGGGGGGGCGGTGGTAGGGGGGGCGGCGCTGGTAGGGGGGCGGTGCTGGTAGGGGGGGCGGAGGTAGGGGGGTTACGGCGCTGGTAGGGGGGGCGGTGGTAGGGGGGGCGGCGCTGGTAGTGGTCGTCCTTACAACACTTCTATTACAACACATGGTAGGGTTCTAGTAATTGTGTACATGTCAACTAGCAAGTGAACCTTTGTTTTAAACCGATTATTCTCAAGATATATATTCATTGTATTATGAAGTGTTAGTTTAAAATATAAAATGTTCATGTTGAAAACTTTTTCTTTGAATTTGGTTTTCAGTAAGCAGAATTCTCGGGCATACTGAAATAGTTTTCTAATTCCATATGTCACATTACCATCAATAATACAACATATTAACGCAACCAAACATAATGAAACCTAACCAGGGATATAATATCACTGTGTTGTCATTCTCAATCTATTCGGTGAGCGTACATCCTCCCTGAGAACTGTTGGCTCCACCACCCTGGCCACTGTAACAGACCTGTTCCTTGTTCTCTCCGTCCTGGGGTCAGTGGCGCTTACCCTCCCCAGGACGATACTGTTTCAACCCCATGAGTGCCAACATGCAGGCCTATCCCTGGACATATTCTCGTGGGATAGTTGTCTTAATAGTTACGCTGGGTATAGTACTTTTGGGAGATAGTTCCCCTTTTAGGAGAGTTATCTTGGGGATAGTTCTCTTACAGGAGAGTTATCTTGGGGATAGTTCTCTTACAGGAGAGTTATCTTAGGGATAGTTCTCTTACAGGAGAGTTATCTTGGGGATAGTTTGAAGTTCATTGAACTAAGCCGATGTGTCCGGCGCGTACTCACCAGCTGACAAGCGTCAAATTTAACGAAGTTTTCCTTACCCAGAAGCGTATGTAACCTACGCTATCTTTGCATATCTAGATGATGCCATGTGTCCCAAGATACGTCACTATTTGGGCGGTTTTAAGTGTCATTAAATCGCTGTAATTTATACGCTGTGGCCTATTGCTACAAATTCCAGTGCAATAAGTATGTGAGGACATATTATGACTCAAGAATTATTTAAAGGTATTGGGATGTATTTGTGTGCTATACTGGGGTACAGGTGAGCCAGAAAGGTGTAGAAGGGAGTTAATTAAAGCGTATATACCTAGAGGGAAGCGACTGGGGGTCCAAAATAGCAGTTGTGGTGTGGGTTTAAGGAAGGGGGGTTTGGGGAGGGGGATAGGAAGGACTAGATGTGATGGAGGGGGGAATGGAGGGGGCTTCCACAACTTGGTCTTTCATTGCATTCCACATGTTGACTAGCAATACAAGCTACGAGTATTTCCTTTGACTCATTAGTGTTTTTAGTTTCCACTTGTGATCTGTTGTTCTACTTTCTCTAAATGTAAAGAGGCTGGCTCTGTCTGTGTGGTCTATTCTCTTTAGTATCTTCTGTGTTGTGATCATGTCTCATCTTCGGTTGGGAGTTCTCTTAGCCTGGCTTTGTAGCTTGGTTCTCTTCATTCTGGCGCTAGTCTTGTTGGTGTAGTGGTTGTAGTTGTTACCTGGTTAACTAGACCATTAGCCAGGAGGCGTTGATCCCTGATATCAACGAAAGGTAAGGTATTAGTGGGTGGTGGTGGTATGGGATATGGTTGTATTAGTGGTGGTGGTAATAGTTGTGGTAGTAATGATGGTGTTGGTAGTGGATGTGGTGGTGGTAATAGTTGTGGTAGTAATGATGGTGTTGGTAGTGGATGTGGTGGTGGTAATAGTTGTGGTAGTAATGATGGTGTTGGTAGTGGACGTGGTGGTGGTGGTGGTAGTGGTAATAGTGGTGGTGAAACAAGACCGCAGCAACAGGCAGTCGACTGATCTCTGACCTTTTCGTCGCGAGAAGCAGCTGATTTTGACGTGAAAAATAGATGAAGGTTTGACTGTACTCAGAACTGTAGGTGTTGCTTCTTCATCCTCTCTGACCCCGACCTTCGTGGGGTCTTGACCCCTCCCTGACCCCCACCTTGGTGGGGTCTTGACCCCTTCCTGACCCCCCACCTTGGTGGGGTCTTGACCCCTCCCTGACACCCACCTTGGTGGGGTCTTGACCCCTCCCTGACCCCCACCTTGGTGGGGTCTTGACCCCTCCCTGACCCCCACCTTGGTGGGGTCTTGACCCCTCCCTGACCCCCACCTTGGTGGGGTCTTGACCCCTCCCTGACCCCCACCTTGGTGGGGTCTTGACCCCTTCCTGACCCCCCCCACCTTGGTGGGGTCTTGACCCCTCCCTGACCCCCACCTTGGTGGGTCTTGACCCCTCCCTGACCCCCACCTTGGTGGGGTCTTGACCCCCTCCTGACCCCCACCTTGGTGGGGTCTTGACCCCTCCCTGACCCCCACCTTGGTGGGTCTTGCCCCGCCTCACACCCACCTGACGTTCGAATTATCTGGCCATAAACTTACGGCTGGAGGTGGCTTCCAGAACTTCTTTCCACTGTTGACCCGCCGAACAAGGTACGAGTATTTCCTTACACGTCTTCGGCTCATTTGCGTTCTCATCTTCCACCTGTGTCTTGTTCAGCCGTCACTGTACAGTATAGAGGTTCTGGCACACCTCTCAGCACTTGTCTAATGGTGATTATGTAGGTCTTAGCCAGTCGGAGTGGCTTATAATAGGGAGTCTAGGAGCCCCGAGGGGGGGGGGCGAGGTCTAGGAACCCCGGGGGGGGGGGGGGGGGGACGAGTCTAGGAGCCAAGACGACATTGGCTGCCACCATTGAAATTGTCATCTAGTAAATGGGAAGTGTATAATAGTGTATATTGTTGTATTTAGTAATGGACCTGCCGGCACTTGTTAATGTGATGAGTGCCTCACGCCTCCGCCTGTGAGGAGTGACTCCCCTCACACTCCTGCTGCAATTACCTAATCACTCTTCGTCGACTCACTCGGCCAACTAGTGCCCTCGAGCGCCATTATCTCTACAACCATTGTCTAGAACTCGACGATTTCTTGATGACCTCTCTCTCTCTGTATATATATTTATATATACATGACAGTCATAGGGTTCAGTTCGACGGTTGATGATCATTTGGTATGAGCTGTCGTGGCGTGTTCGAATTACTCGGGTACCTGCAGGTCCTTGCAAGAAATAAAAGGAATATAGTGGGAAGTAGCACCATTTTCCAGAGAGGTGAGTAGGTGTTTGTGGTGGTGGTTGTTGATTAGGCCACCACGAGAGGTGGCAGGGGCACGGAGGAGCCCCGTAGGTGGTAGATGGTCGGGGTGAATGTGGTCCATGGTTGTGTGACATCTTGAAGTGTGTGTTGGTCTCTGGTGAGTGGGTGTGATGACCCCTGACCCGTCCTCGGGGTAGTCTTCTGACCGTCACTAAAGTCAGTCCTCAGAAAACTTGCTCCCTTTATAAAATCTGCATTTCTTATAACTTAACATTATTCTACATTACAATTTGGTGTATAGACAAGGAAGAGCTGTTCGAGAAATGTTTGAAGGTCTACACTTGAGTCTTGAAGTGTTCTTGACCCAAACACGGGGTTTGGCGGCTTGGTTAACGACCATTTGGCTTGTGTTGATGAGGATTGAGAGGCTCCTCAACTCGCCCGAGGGAGCGAGGGATGTCTTTAGCTTGTAATGTTAAGAGTAGCCACCTTCACCATGACTATAAATTAGTTTTGAAGACCGTTGTGTTTTTGCGTTGAGCTGTGATTTTTTTCTGTTAGTCCTATTCAGAGTGGATCATCATCAGTATAGTTGTCTGAATGTGGTGTTGCAACGCTGTTGTAATTTTCTGGGATATTAATGCATGAGTCTTGAGCAAATGGTGTATGTGTATTCACCTAGTTGTGCTTGCGGGGGTTGAGCTCTGCTCATTCGGCCCGCCTCTCAACTGTCAATCAACCGTTTCTACTACTATTTTTTTTCCACACCACACGCACACACCAGGAAGCAGCCCGTGACAGCTGACTAACTCCCAGGTACCTATTTACTGCTAGGTAACAGGGGTATAGGGTAAAAGAAACTGCCCAGCGTTTCTTGCCGGCGTCCAGGATCGAACCCGGGACCTCAGGATCACGTGCCCAGCGTGCTGTCCGCTCGGTCACCGCCCCTCCCCCGTGTGTGTGTGTGTGTGTGTGTGTGTGTGTGTGTGTGTGTGTGTGTGTGTGTGTGTGTGTGTGTGTGTGTGCGCGCGCGCGTGTGTGTGTGTGTGTGCGTGCGTGTGCGTGCGCGCTCACCTATTTGCACTCGCATATTTATTTCTGCAGAATCGGAACAAATTCTCTCTCTTCTAGCATCGTTAGGTTTAGTTCCTTCAGTCGCTCTTCATTCCCCATCCCTCGCAATTCTAGGACGAGCCCCTTTGCAAAACTAATGAAATTTTGAGTTTCCTTTTGCGTTTCTTTAGATAGCAGTCCCACGATGGGTCAGCATACTCAAAGATTGGTCTCACGTATGTGGTGTACAACGATCTAAATGCCTCCTTATTTCGGTTCCTGAATGACGTTTCTGACCCTTGATAATAAATTGTGCTGTGTCTATTTACTATTTGTGGCTGCATAGTTGAGCTATTAGCTCTTGGACCCCGCCTTTCTAACCGTCAATTGTCTATTCGACTGTGTTCTGTTCTTTTTTTCTCTACTACATATTTCTCTCATGCGCGCACATCCCCAGGATGCAGCCCGTATCAGCTGTCTAAGACCCAGGTACCTATTTACGGCTAGGTGAACAGACGCATCAGATGAAAGAAACTGTTCATTTGTTTCTACCTCGACCAGGGATCGAACCCGGACCTCTGGGATTATACGACCCCGGAGCGCGCACTGCTCGACTGCGAGGACCTGTGTGTGTGTGTGTGTGTGTGTGTGTGTGTGTGTGTGTGTGTGTGTGTGTGTGTGTGTGTGTGTGTGTGTGTGTGTGTGTGTGTGTGTGTGTGTGTGGCTTACCTAATTGTGCTTGCGGGGGTTGAGCTTTGGCTCTTTGGTCCCGCCTCTAAGGTCCTCCCGCCTGTGTGTGTGTGTGTGTGTGTGTGTTGCATATATGTGTTGCGTATGTTACTGGAGGGTATTGTTTGTTGAGTATGAAGCCGTGTGTGGAAGATGTCAACAGTTGTGTGTGTGGTGTAGTGAGGTAAGACCACCTAAGCCGCTCAAGCCAGCCAGCAAGCTTGGTAAGCCAACAGGATCACATTACTTTACCAAATGAAAAACACCCAAAAATACATTGCCATGTTTCCCATCGTGGTTGTAAAACAGGCTCTGGTGGCTTTATTAAAGCGCGCCCAAAAAGGTTTAGAAATTACCTGACCGTAGTTCGTGCATTTGCGAGTGTGTAGTTGTGGAGACTTGGGTGTTGGGTGTTGTGGTCTGGGGGGGGGTGTCGTGGTGTGGGGGGGGTGTCGTGGTCTGGGGGGCGGGGGTCGTGGTGTAGGACTGGAGGCTATATACACGGGGTACTGTGGGCATATTGTCCTCGGTGCGTGGAGCGAGATGTCCAATATTGTCCTCGGTGCGTGGAGCGAGATGTCCAATATTGTCCTCGGTGCGTGGAGCGAGATGTCCAATATTGTCCTCGGTGCGTGGAGCGAGATGTCCAATATTGTCCTCGGTGCGTGGAGCGAGATGTCCAATATTGTCCTCGGTGCGTGGAGCGAGATGTCCAATATTGTTCTCGGTGCGTGGAGCGAGATGTCCAATATTGTCCTCGGTGCGTGGAGCGAGATGTCCAATATTGTCCTCGGTGCGTGGAGCGAGATGTCCATTACTGCTCTTTAGCCCTGAAGTCTTGAGCCTGTACGCGGCTAGGTCCTCCAGTCTAATGACATGATAATGTAGTTTGCTGGTGCAATCTAATCTAGTGTTAGATGGTCCTTGCTGGGATGTTGCCGGCTTGCTGCCAGTGATGGTGAAGGCTCATTGCTATCAGCTAATGTTTCTCTTTTGTTTAAAAGTGTTCGCAGGTTTTTTCTTTAGAGATATTACATGCATATGTTATACCCTCCCAGACACACCCAAAACAATGTTTATCTCTGTCACTACGGGATTGATCTAGCACTTTATGCCTCGCCCCGTGTTTCTGGGCAACCCGTTCTCGCAAATTCGTAAAGTCAATATTGACTTATTAACTACGTCCATAGGTGATATACTAAACATAATAGATACCCTTAAAAAGATTCATAGAAAACACCGACCTTACCTAACCTTGTTAGTATCTTAAGATAAGCATCTTATTGCTTCGTAATTACAATTATTACTTAACCTATACCTATTATAGGTTAGGTAATAATTGTAATTACGAAGCAATAAGATGCTTATCTTAAGATACTAACAAGGTTAGGTAAGGTCGGTGTTTTCTATGAATCTTTTTAAGGGTATCTATTATGTTAAGTATGTCACCTATGCACATATTTAATAAGTCAATATTGGCTTATTAAATTGGCGAGAACGGGTTGTTCTGGGAGATCTCTTATACTCATCTAAGTGTACTACCAGGGGGGGGGGTAGAAACTGAACTCCATACACTTATGCAGCAATGACGAGAATGTAGTCATTTATGCACTCACTGTGAACTTTCCTTTGGCATGTATAGTTCCTGTGTAAAGATGTTTGTTTTGTTTATTTCAGGACTTGGTGAAGCAGATGTTGCATCTTGACCCGGGTCAAAGACTGACAGCCACTCAGGTAGCCAATCATCCCTGGCTCCTGCATCGAGAGGCTCTTCCCAACCTTCGGCTACTTCTACAAGATGCTTCTCTTGTCAAGGGCGCTATTTCTGCCACCTACAGGTACTACAAGGTTTCACGTACTCTTGCTTGTTCGCGCACTCAAACATACTCTGTCTCTGTCGCTCACCTCACGCAAACACTAGCCGACCACTCTACCTTAATCACGCTACCTTGTTCCACACACACACCCACTCCACCTTAAGTCTCCAAATCCACTTTAAGCTTAGTTTTGTGAATAATTTTCTTAGTTAATATTAAAAGTTAAAAAAAAATACATTTCATTAGATTCAGACGATGAGTCACAATAACGTGGCTGAAGTATGTTGACCAATCCACACACTAGAAAATGAAGGGACGACGACGTTTCGGTCCGTCCTGGACCATTCTCAAGTCGATTGTCGACTTGAGAATGGTCCAGGACGGACCGAAACGTCGTCGTCCCTTCATTTTCTAGTGTGTGAATTGGTCAACATTTCATTAGATTTGTCATTACTTGCCAGTTTTTAAATAAAAGATATTTCTTACAGAGCCATCAACCACTCTCCCCGCGCTCCCAACCTTGGACCAGTAGCAGCGTCGGCCCTTGCTCGTCGGCGCGGCAAGTCCCGGCCAAAGTCTTCAACGGAGGTCTGACATCCGGCCTTTACTTGTCACCGTTCACAGCCTCGCCCCGAGAGTGAGGATGCTGTAGCCAGGTCCCCTCAGCCAGAGTGGGTGGCCTCCTCTCCCATCCATGTGTCTCATCCCTCGCAACGTGTCGAACATTTCCAATATGCGGGACCAGCAGCGGAACCGGAGGCATCGTGTTCCCAGGTGGCACCTCCCTGGCCACTCGGGTCCCAAGATGCTGTCTCCATAGCCTTTAATCCCCAAATAACAAGTCCCTCTACAATGATTCCTCAGGTCTCGAGTGCTCCTGCTGTTTCGTACCAGGAACAAAGCCTCACTATGCCTCTTGATTACCCAAAGGAGCAGCAGCCTCAGCAACAGTTGCACCCGAAGCAGCAGGAACAACAGCAGCAGCAGCAGGAACAGCAGCAGCAGCACCAGCAGCAGTTGCAACAGCAGAGTAGACAAAACAAATCCCGACGTCGGTCCCAGCGTCGACACCGACGTCGTCGACGCACCACCACTACAGCGCCTTGAACTGTACGTCAACACACTGCCATCAGACGAAGAATAAGGGCCAGGTGGCAACCAGAGCCTTCATGTGTGGTTCCAGTAATTACAAAGTTCCTGCTGCAGTCGATAACTACATTTTACATGAATCAGTATGCAGAGGCTGCAGTTCTAGGCCAAATCTTTTCCAATGTTTAAGTGACTGTTGGGCTCTTGAAAAATGTTTGTGTCATAATGCTTCAAATCCTGAAAGGCAACAATCAAATGGGTAAGAGAGCAAGGCAAGCGGAGCTATGTGAAACAGGGCCACTTCTCGTCTTCATTAGGGATTTGTAGAGATCAATTACAGTTAGAGCATGCTGACTGCTCTTTGTGGGGAAGACTTGACCAACGCGTGGGCCATGGTAGCAGGTTGTCTTGCCCTCTGTCGAGTTCACAGTCGGTACCATATATATACGTCTTACAAGGCATCCAACTACTTCTTGTGCTGTGAGATTACAAAATAAACTGAACAATTTTGTAGCCTCGAGTAGGTAGGTGTTGAGCTATTGCTGGATACTACGCGCGCGCACTGAGATTCAATGGAGATACACAGCCTGCCTCTTGCCTACGAATTTTATATACCACTTGTGGCTAGTTAGGTGGGACTAATGGTGAGGTACGAGTCACCAGTTAAGAATGCCATCCTTACGCATAATTTTCTAACTTTTAAGTGCAGCAGGCAAGTTGTGCAAATGTAAATTATCACTAATTTAAGATTTTACTTACAAATCTTCTGAGGCGGTGTGTAGTGAGAGCGTGAAGAGCGGCGCCTCCAATCTCCACAGGATAAGAACGCGTGCAAATAAGAAAACATATACTCAGTAGTTATTTCTTTACATTGTTTCACATTTGTTCTCATTAAAGTTAGTTTAAAGAAAAATAGTGTGTTCTTATGGTGCCGACAGTCGTACGTCATCAGAGGCAAGTATTAACAACCTTAAGATTACTTAAACACGTATCGTTCAGTTACTCAAGGATCTGCTATGTTAATACTACAGGTTGACATCTTAATACTTCCATTCCTTTTTGTATTCTTGGAAGGTGATAACGAGGGCATAATTAGTGTGTGTGTGTGTGTGAGTGAGGACTACCAGTGAGTGAACGAGAGAGAGAGAGAGAGAGAGAAAAGGGGGGATGGGAGGGAGGAAAGTGAGAGGACCATCCAGGAAGCAACGAATCCGCTGCACTGGACATCCTCACAAGGTGTCGCACCCCCCAACCACTGTGCTGGCGTGTGCTAGTCATTATGTGTTCGGTCACCTGGTGCTCATAACAACAGGTACCAAGAGTCCCCTACACTCTGTGTTGAGTTGTGCACTCAACTGGACGGCACCAGGTGCAACACACCTGGCGGAGTGTGTGTAGTGCAAGGGGACTTTTGGTCGAGTCGGCTGGCAGGAAGTGTTCAATGCAATCGTATTTTTTATAGCAGCTTTCAATCTGTGTCATATTGATGGAGTCTCGGCTACACCCCCATATTGTGTGCGTGTTCTGTAAATAACCATCAACCAGTCTGATATATGTTGGATAAAGTACATAGGTGTAGTCTTGTGCTCTTTATTTTGTCCCAAGAACGCAGATGGAACTGTTAATATATAATCATATAGTTGTTTATTCCAGTCTTATTATTGTTTATTTCTTAATCAATTTTGTTGTTACCTGTACATATAGGAGGAGTATTAAATGACATGGCTCTGTGAAACTCGCTTGCCATTGCCAATCTCTAAAATAGTGTTCAGTCGAGGTACCTGCCGAGATGTGTATTTTTGATGGCAAGTTGTAAATTTTTATAGGATCCTACGGTAACTACGATGCCCGTGCAATGGCCAGCGCAGCGGGGTTCAACGTTCCTGGTGAGGTAGAAGGGTGTGTGGGGGGGGCTGGTTGAGGAGAAGACATGACTGGCACCGAGGGATAATAGGAGTGTTGGTATAGTTATTGTTGCTAGTGGTGACCTGGTTCCTTGTTTTTGTCTTGATACATGTCTTTTTTTTTATTTAATGATATACGAGAAATTTGTAATCAATAAAAAAAGCTATTTTGAAACAAAGAAATGTATGAAGACTGAGCCCCACACACCAGATGATGAGACGACGACGTTTCGGTCCGTCCTGAACAATCGTCATAATTGACTTGATAATGGTCCATGACGGACCGAAACGACGTCGTTTCTTCATCTTCTGATGAGTGGTTTAATTTTCATATCTCAAGCCACGTTATTGTGACTCGTCGTCCGCAAGGAAACGTAGACTATACATTTCAGTCTGAAACTAGGAACCTCTTCAACCGTGAGTGAGAATGACAGCTGTAGTTGCTTGTGTGGTGTCAATCAGGTGTCCTGGGAAGAGGTGAAAACACTAACTAATACTCTCCTGGTTAAATAATCTCTCACCAAATCTGGTAATATCTCCGTATGACGGGTCACCAGATTTCATGAGCAACTATGTAACAAGGTTATTACTTTATGCTTGCACCTCTTCCCAGGACACCTGACTGCTGTAGCTACGTTTATGGTGTTACTCTCGCTCACTGCTCAAGAGTATCCTAGTTTCAGACTGAAATATGTTCCTTGTGCTTTCAAAATAGTGGATTATGAATATTATATATATATATAAGTGTGTATAGTGACCAGCCAACAAAGATGAGATGATGTAAGTAATCTCAAGGAGTACTTTGCATAAATGTTAAAATAAAATAAGTTCAAGACTTTAATGAGATTCAGTTGGTTACATGGAATCAAGGTAGCAACATCATATATTTTTAATATGTGTGTACGAGTGAACAAACTGTGGTTAGAGCGGAAACTCAGGTACGTTGTGGTTTAAAGATTCAGGACTCGAGAAGTCTCTTAACAGCTTGCTTTCTATCCTTAGTGAAAGCTGGAAACTTTCTGGGGCATAAAGGCGCCCAATTTTATTATGAGTGACAGATATCCTCTCCAGGTGTGCTCCAGGTGGCGTCCAGTGTACATCACTTTAGCATAATCTTCTTACGATAGTCATTTTGGGAGATCTGTTGAACATGTTTAGTTTATATTTGAATCCAGCGAGGGCTGCCCCGATCCCTCCCTCCCTGCTGGGTCCTCAGTTGCCTGCCCTGATTATTTTGAAAGTTTATTTTTACTGTTGCTATTTAAATGTAATGTTCAGTTCCAAATAATAAAGATACTTCATATAAAATAAGTGTTTTATTCCACAATAGTAGTAGTTGATGAAGATATATTTATATAAAGCTATTAACACTGTGGTAGGATGTGACCTGCCAGTCATTTTACATCCATGTACACTATTGCTGTTGGAGTGGATACAGACTTGGCGCACGCACTACGGACTTGACTATGATGAGAGGCCGTACCATGGAATCAACTTCCCCTTTTCCTGTAATTGCCAGGGAATATGTCCAATGTGCATCGTATGGCCTCGATACTATCTCAAAGATACTTCATGCTCTTGTGATTTCATATTTTCAGAGAAGGAATAGTTTCAAGTAGTCGCATTCTGCCTAGGATACGAACCCAAGTTTTCTCGCTGGCAGGGTGAGGGGGTTACCCTCTGCGTCAGTTGATTACTCTCAGGTATTATTTGATTTACAATGTCCACAATGTAGTGTGCAACTGATAGTTATGCAATGAGATTCTGGCTTTGTTTCTACAAACCACATCACGTTAGTTATTAGAGGAGTACAGTAGTCCTGCTGAGGCACAGACAAGACAAATCCTCTTTTATTCCCAACCATTCGTGTGCACATTTGTTTCAAACCTGTTACAGAGGTTAAGCATTCTCTTCAATGTCAATACTTCTCAAATGACATCGCAAAATCCCTACATAACATAACAATGTCCCTACTTACGAAACATCTATACACCAGCAACTTTTAAACCACTTGTGCTATTTCAACAGGCGACTTATTTGACAGATATGTGAAGAGGTAATTACTTGTCATTATTACATAATTTTGCCAAAGTCGAAAGCGTTCCTCGCGCATATTTGCACTCTAGGATATACAAGACTAATTATACTGTATTAGCATAATGATACTTTATCATTATGCTTGTCACAGAACATAATGGCGTAGTTGTCTGTAATGGCAGCAAATATTATTACACTGCCCCAACCACTTGGGCTGGACGGTAGAGCGATGTTCTCGCTTCATGCAGGTCGGCGTTCAATCCCCGACCGTCCACAAGTGGTTGGGCACCATTCCTCCCCCCCCCCCGTCCCATCCCTAATCCTTATCCTGACACCTTCCAAGTGCTATATAGTCGCAATAGCTTGGCGCATTTTCCTGATAATTCCATTTCATTCATCAATAACACAATAATGCATGGAAAGAATAGTGTGTTTTTGATTATAGAAGTAAAAAATTTTGACCACCACGATAAACAGGCGGTAATCACCCATTCCCTCATCCTTGGGATAGTACTGTAGCTGCCTTCTAGCCTCAAACTAGCTAGCCACGAAGCCATCACAGCCACTAGTTGACACAGTAAGACCATGACTCTTAATTACATTAGACGTTTAGGGTCTAATGTAATTAACATGTAAGATGACGCCTCAGAAGGCTTATACTGGTCCATGCGAAGCTGTCAAGATATATGAGGGAGTTTGGGTATAAATGTCTAACCTTCACATGAAACAACTAAGCGATTACTCCTCTATTACAGCCCCATCATCAATCCCCATTATCATATATACTGGCTCCGGTCATAGTCCCCAGTCCCTCGTGTAGCCCCCCAGTCCCTCGTGTAGCCCCCAGTCCCTCGTGTAGCCCCCAGTCCCTCGTGTAGCCCCCCAGCCAATCGTGTAGCCCCCCAGTCCCTCGTGCAGCCCCCCAGTCCCTCGTGTAGCCCCCCCCACTACCACCCACAGGATAACCACAATCCTTCATTCAAATTAGCGTGAGGGGCCCACTAGCGTGCCACAGGATCAATGTGTGGGGCCCGGTCACTACCAGCCACAGGACGCGTGTGGGGCCCACTAGCGGCCACAGGACGGGTGTGGGGCCCACTACCACCCACAGGACGGGTGTGGGGCCCACTACCGTCCACAGGACGCGTGAGGGGCCCACTAGCACCCACAGGATGGGTGTGGGGCGCACTAGCACCCACAGGACGCGTGTGGGGCCCACTAGCACCCACAGGATGGGTGTGGGGGTCCACTAGCACCCACAGGATGCGTGTGGGGCCCACTACCACCCACAGGATGGGTGTGGGGGTCCACTACCACCCACAGGATGGGTGTGGGGGGTCCACTAGCACTACCACACAGGATGGGTGTGGGGGTCCACTACCACCCACAGGATGGGTGTGGGGGTCCACTACCACCCACAGGATGGGTGTGGGGGTCCACTACCACCCACAGGATGGGTGTGGGGGCCCACTACCACCCACAGGATGGGTGTGGGGCCCACTACCACCCACAGGATGGGTGTGGGGGTCCACTACCACCCACAGGATGGGTGTGGGGGTCCACTACCACCCACAGGATGGGTGTGGGGGTCCACTACCACCCACAGGATGGGTGTGGGGGTCCACTACCACCCACAGGATGGGTGTGGGGGTCCACTACCACCCACAGGATGGGTGTGGGGTCCACTACCACCCACAGGATGGGTGTGGGGGTCCACTACCACCCACAGGATGGGTGTGGGGGGTCCACTACCACCCACAGGATGGGTGTGGGGTCCACTACCACCCACAGGATGGGTGTGGGGGTCCACTACCACCCACAGGATGGGTGTGGGGGTCCACTACCACCCACAGGATGGGTGTGGGGCCCACTACCACCCACAGGATGGGTGTGGGGCCCACTACCACCCACAGGATGGGTGTGGGGGCCCACTACCACCCACAGGATGGGTGTGGGGGTCCACTACCACCCACAGGATGGGTGTGGGGTCCACTACCACCCACAGGATGGGTGTGGGGGTCCACTACCACCCACAGGATGGGTGTGGGGGTCCACTACCACCCACAGGATGGGTGTGGGGGTCCACTACCACCCACAGGACGGGTGTGGGGGTGTGGGGGTCCACTACCACCCACAGGATGGGTGTGGGGGTCCACTACCACCCACAGGATGGGTGTGGGGCCCACTAGCACCCACAGGATGGGTGTGGGGGTCCACTACCACCCACAGGATGGGTGTGGGGGTCCACTACCACCCACAGGATGGGTGTGGGGCCCACTACCACCCACAGGATGGGTGTGGGGTGTGGGGCCCACTACCACCCACAGGATGGGTGTGGGGGTCCACTACCACCCACAGGATGGGTGTGGGGGTCCACTACCACCCACAGGATGGGTGTGGGGGTCCACTACCACCCACAGGATGGGTGTGGGGGTCCCACTACCGCCCACAGGATGGGTGTGGGGTCCACTACCACCCACAGGATGGGTGTGGGGTCCACTACCACCCACAGGATGGGTGTGGGGGTCCACTACCACCCACAGGACGGGTGTGGGGCCCACTACACAGGATGGGTGTGGGGTCCACTACCACCCACAGGATGGGTGTGGGGGTCCACTACCACCCACAGGATGGGTGTGGGGTCCACAAACACCCACAGGATGGGTGTGGGGGTCCACTACCACCCACCCACAGGATGGGTGTGGGGTCGACTACCACCCACAGGATGGGTGTGGGGGTCCACTACCACCCACAGGATGGGTGTGGGGGTCCACTACCACCCACAGGATGGGTGTGGGGTCCACTACCACCCACAGGATGGGTTTGGGGGTCCACTACTACCCACGGGATGGGTGTGGGGCCCACTACCACCCACAGGATGGGTGTGGGGCCCACTACCACCCACAGGATGGGTGTGGGGGTCCACTACCACCCACAGGATGGGTGTGGGGTCCACTACCGACCCACAGGATGGGTGTGGGGATCGACTACCACCCACAGGATTGGTGTTGGGTTCACTACCACCCACAGGATGGGTGTGGGGGTCCACTACCACCCACAGGATGGGTGTGGGGGTCCACTACCACCCACAGGATGGGTGTGGGGGTCCACTACCACCCACAGGATGGGTGTGGGGGTCCACTACCACCCACAGGATGGGTGTGGGGTCCACTACCACCCACAGGATGGGTGTGGGGTCCACTACCACCCACAGGATGGGTGTGGGGTCCACTACCACCCACAGGATGGGTGTGGGGTCCACTACCACCCACAGGATGGGTGTGGGGGTCCATTACCACCCACAGGATGGGTGTGGGGTCAACTACCACCCACAGGATGGGTGTGGGGGTCCACTACCACCCACAAGATGGGTGTGGGGTCCACTACCACCCACAGGATGGGTGTGGGGTCCCACTACCACCCACAGGATGGGTGTGGGGTCCACTACCACCCACAGGATGGGTGTGGGGGCCCACTACCACCCACAGGATGGGTGTGGGGTCCACTACCACCCACAGGATGGCTGTGGGTTCCACTACCACCCACAGGATGGGTGTGGGGTCCACTACCACCCACAGGATGGGTGTGGGGTCCACTACCACCCACAGGATGGGTGTGGGGGTCCACTACCACCCACAGGATGGGTGTGGGGGTCCACTACCACCCACAGGATGGGTGTGGGGGTCCACTACCACCCACAGGATGGGTGTGGGGGTCCACTACCACCCACAGGATGGGTGTGGGGTCCCACTACCACCCACAGGATGGGTGTGGGGTCCACTACCACCCACAGGATGGGTGTGGGGTTCACTACCACCCACAGGATGGGTGTGGGGTCCACTACCACCCACAGGATGGGTGTGGGGTCCACTACCACCCACAGGATGGGTGTGGGGGTCCACTACCACCCACAGGATGGGTGTGGGGGTCCACTACCACCCACAGGATGGGTGTGGGGGTCCACTACCACCCACAGGATGGGTGTGGGGTCGACTACCACCCACAGGATGGGTGTGGGGTCCACTACCACCCACAGGATGGGTGTGGGGTCGACTACCACCCACAGGATGGGTGTGGGGTCCACTACCACCCACAGGATGGGTGTGGGGGTCCACTACCACCCACAGGATGGGTGTGGGGGTCCACTACCACCCACAGGATGGGTGTGGGGTCCACTACCACCCACAGGATGGGTGTGGGGTCCACTACCACCCACAGGATGGGTGTGGGGTCCACTACCACCCACAGGATGGGTGTGGGGGTCCACTACC